TAGCGCGGGACGGGTGGGCCGCCCCAGCCATTTAAATTTAAATGAAGCCGCGATTATTTTAATCGCGGCTTCATTTCCCTCTTCTGATCTGGCTAATCTACATGCCTCCGTCGAAGGAGGCATGTAGTCTAGACACACCCCTAGAGACAAAAGGAGAAAAGAAAAAAAACCCAAATTCCTTTGTCCCAGTTTGAAAAGTCCCACCTACATTCCTATTGGTCACTCCACCTGGCTAGGTGTAGTTAACCCCTTAATCCCCAGGCTGCTGGCTAACCCTCATAATCATGACAGGCCATATGATGAAGATGTCATCAATGTAGAGAAAGGGTGCTAGGGGATGAGAGCTGAGGAAATGTTGTTCTAGGTCAGAACATAAAATTCTTGGCGTATTGTGGGGCCATGCCATAGCAGTGCCTCAGGCGTGAAGGTATAAATTGTCCCAAATGGGAAATAGTTGTGGGTGTCACAAAGCTCAGCCATCAGGTGTATATTCTCTTTTAAAAAAAATCCACTATCTGCAAGCCTCACTGTTGTCTAATTTTTTGGGCACAAAGTATTATCATTTTAAAGAAACAAAAAGGAAACATGTTTTAGCATTTCTGTATGTTATATTTTACAAGATGAAGGATGGTTTTTTCTGAATTAAGGATAAACACTATTATATAAGCCTAAGATAGAACGCTATTTTATAAACCCATAATTATTATTCCTGGAATGTCTGTTATACATTCCAAGAACGGAAGTTGTGCCCTGGTTCTTGTAAAAGATCTGTTTCCAAAGATATAATGGATTTTCCACAGCTGTCTGACTGCAAATGCATCTTTAGTGAAGTATTTTCAGCAGCTAATATATTAACCAAAACAGCATGTGTTTATATTTTAATCTTAATAAGTACTTGGAGTATATTGAAAACTTTTATAAATTGACACAATGTTATAGAGCCAGATTTAATACCTATTACCCACCCAGCCCAATTGACTCCAGTGGGATCACTAGATGTGGGCAGCAAATTGACTTATACTGCTATGTGCATGGCTCAAGTGCCAAAGGAACATGTTAAAATGAAACCCACAGCATTCTATAGCATTTTTTCTTTTTATATCTTATGTCTCTTGTAAAGAGGATCTTCCTGTTTGACAGTATTATTAAATTCATTCCCTTTCCTCCTCCTCCTCACCTCGTATTCTAAAATAGCAGCAAGAACAAACACAATCTCATTAATGAGCAATGTATGTGATGATAGAAATTCAGAGCTCATTTAATCAGGCTCAGTGACATCCTAATCCAACTCCCATTAAAGTCAACAGAGAGATACCTATTAATTTCAGAGAGAACTGGACTAGGTGATGAATTATTATAGGGTGTGATCCCAAGACACACATTTCAGCAAGAATAATTGGGGATACAGAACTGTGCCAAGAGATTTGCCAAGACATTTTTCTTTCATTCTCTACCAAAGCCTGAGATTAGGGTTGTAAGACAGTAGTTGATTAGTCGAATACCCGATAAGCTTAAGCTTATCGGGTAGTCAAGTCAACTACTCACAATCTACCCTCCCCCTTGCTGCCCCTATATCAGAGGAAGCAAGGGGGTCAGAGAGTAGGAGCCCGTGCTGGGGGGGAACCGGCTTAAAAGACGCTGCCAGGCAACGTGGACAGGGGCTGCTACCTGCAGAATCTGACAACCCTGAGCGTAGGCAGTGGTAAACAAAATGTCTCACGGGCCACACGTAGATCCCTGATGGGCCACATGCAGCCGTCCGGTCATAAGCTGCCCACCACTAATCTAAGCTATGACTGAATTTCTGAGTGGAGCCTCTGTCAGTAAAACATTACTATGGCTAATTATGTTTATTATAGTAGTACCTCAGGACCAATCATAATCAGGCCCCGCTGTGTTAGGTACAGTACAAACAGAATAGCAGATTGTCTGTGCCCTGGCAAGCTTCTAATATGCAACATACAGAAAGAACAATTGATGTGATGGTGGCAAATATCATTTTAGAGCCATGGGTTTTGATTTTTTTTAAAGTGAGAGGTTTTTTTAAAGTGAGAGGTTTTGATGGAAAGTGATTAGCTAAATGGAAAGATAAGGGAATGGAACAGGGTTGTTGAAGGGATGGGCAACCAAGGAGAGAGAGCAGAGGAGAAGAGAAAGAAGGAAGGTCTGTAGATTAGGTGGGGTAAATCTGAGGTGAAGCAGTTGGTTGGGTGACTTCTGTGACTTCTATGATGGACTTGCAGCCTTACTAATAAGTCATCCATACACTCACAAATACATCATAGTTAGCATCACAAGAAAAGAACCATTCTGTTTCAAATTCCCCATCATTAAAAACAAAAAAATTAAAATAACTCTTGAAATAATTATGTGGATTTCCTGAAGTTGAATGTTCATGCTTTATATATAGAAATGCATTTATATTACTGCTGGTGCAACAAAGATATTAAGAGAAATATTACATTTCCCTTCTATACTAATTTACATGTTTTCTGTCTCATGTACTCACACAAGGCTGCTAACATAATATAAAATTTATTTCTACTGACATGCTGAAAAATCTCATGTTCCATAGCTCTGTGAAATTATATGAAAAGTTACTCAGAAGCATATAGATTTAGGGTGGAGCAGCACAGGAATAAATTCATGTTGATGTTCATCTTAAAATATATGTATTCGCATAATAAGGAATTGCCCATTCTTCTCTGTAGGTGCCAGCTTGCATGATGACGACAGTAAATACTTCTGGTTTCATCATACCCAAGGGGACACAATGACAGTTCAAGATCCAAGCCAGATGAATCTCTGTGCTGCTATTTGGACTGTCGTCTCCTATGTAATTGCTGACATGGAAGAGATGTTGCCAAGGAAATAAAACAGCAAGAAAGAAGACTTGCATTTTTCAGTCCACTAAAGCATGTGGTCCACAGCTGTGGGAAATTCCTTTTCCATTCTAATTTTTGCTGATTTTTGTTTCTGTTCTTTTGCCTCAAAGCATATTCTTTTTCCATGGTTCTGGTTCTGTTTGCTGATTTAATGCCTTCCATTTGTGATGTTTATTTCATGTTTCTTCTATTAAGTATTTTTACCTTCTAATCAATGCCTAATGTCTGTGTCCCAAAATTGTGGCAAAATAACCATCTATAAACAAGTAATCCTATCTACCAGGAAAATACACTGAATAGATCTGTTGCAGTAGTTCTATTGTGTTTACATGTAACATGTACATGTACATGTTACATGTAACAGGGTTTGGGTTTGGTTTTATTTTGGGGTTTTTTTGTTTGTTTTTTTGTTTTTGTTTAGCTAATAGAATGATACATGATCACTAAAAGTAATCTCATGCTTCCATAGCCTTTTAAACTAATACAGTGTTCACATATATAACCCGCCCTATAATGCCAAGATTAACCCTAGAGGTTACAATTTGCATAATGCCTTGTCTTAAAGGTGCAATGGTAAAACTATAGCTTTAAACTTTTCCAAATCCATTCATATCTTGCTTTTACTGACACTTCAAACACAATTCATACTGAAATCTTACGTAGATAAGGTTGTTCAATTCACACTTCATCTAGGAAAAGCCAAGACTTACATCATGGAGGGGAAACAGAAGAAAGATTGAGAATTCTGTCAGTACCCCCAGTTGGAGGGAGCTTGCCTGCCATTTGGTGTTAAGCTTTACTACCTGGCCCTGAAAGGCCAGGTTACAGCAGTTGCCACAAGTGCTTCCCATTGTCTTTTGGGAAGAATGTTGTATCCTGTTCTTTCTGTGTCAGGTTTTACCATATGTATCTGCAATGCATTTTTATATGGCTCCATCTCCTACCATGCCAAAGATACGGTACATCTGTGTTCTGTGATCTTCACTGCTTGCCAGCTGATAACCTGGGTGAAATTTAAGGAGTTGGCTTTGACCTGTACAGTACTAAACATTTCTAGTCCTTGAGTTGTCTGTTCCCATGACAGCGGAATTCTAAACAGAAAAAGTCTGGTGGTCTTCAGTCATTGGAGATTTTTGCTGTCATCAGTCTAAATTCACATCTTTGTCCTGTTTTTGAGACCTGTTTTTGAGACCTTTCATGAATTTTGGCACCACATCATTATCTGTCAAGGTCTGTCAATGTGATTTTGCTCCTCAAAGATCGATAGGTTTCCAACATGAAGAAGAAACTTTGTGTTACAAGTTTTAATCTCTACCCCCATATGAGCCATCCTTACTAAAAGAGATATTTTTGTCATTAAAGCAAGTTCACTAGTTGCCATTATGTCAACAGGCAGATTATTCTGAGTTGGGAGTACTATATAGGATGCCCTATTATATGAGACTTCCAGATGAAGCTGCCTGTACATACCTCCAAGATACATAACAAAGTACAATTCCATATTTCACATAAAAATTATTCTTCCCACTATCTTCTCAAAAGAGAATCTGTACTACAAATTGGATGTTAAAAGGGCAGGTCCAATTTACCAGGAAAAAACGTAATGAGAGAATGTACCACAGTCTTCGGGAAATACCATCTGAGATGCATAGAAAGCAAAACTTCTATATTTACAATTGCATATTAGATCACAGCTTGCATTGAAGGGGCTATAAAACAAATAAAATTATTTCTTCTGAAGATAATATGTTTTCTACCAGTCTCATGGACTGAGAGGAATGGATAATCTTCAGAGGAGAATTGCAGACCAGCTATTTTGCCAAACTTACATTTTTTCCAGTAGACACTGTAGAATTCATAAACTTGGCTTTTCAAATGCCTTTATTTCAAAGGTTCTACAACAGGCCTGGGCAAAATGCATCCCACAGGCCGGATCCAGCCTGTCAAACCACCAGATCCGGGCCGCGAACGCTGTGGGGAGCCCCTGACAGGCTCCCCACTTGCCTTGCCCCACCCGCACGCTGCTCAGAAATGCAGCTGCAGGGCAGTTTTTCTTTAAAAAATGTGAGTCTGGAGGGGAGGGGGAAAGCTTTAGGAGCTGCTCTCACCCCCAGCATAATCCCATTGGCCAGTTTCTGGCCAGAAACCGGCCAATGGGAGCTGCCTGTTTCAATAACAGTCAGCCACAAAGCACAAGGGGCTTCAGAGCACATGGCTGCTGCCTGTGCAGGGGCAGAGCAGGCAGCAGTGTTTCCTCTAAGCTGTGCTGCCTCCCAGTTTATAAGGAACACTGGCTGGCTGGTAAATCTCCTGGTCAGACCCTGCCTCTGGCACCCCAGTCCCTCCCTTCCCCAACCCTCTGCCCCCCACTCCACATAGCTAAGTCCTCTACCCCCATCCTGTACTCATATCCCTTCCCAGATCAAGCACCCTAATCCCCTGCCCCAGATCACAGTCCCCTTCTGCCCTATGTCACAATCCTGCACCCTAGTCCAGTGCCCCTGGTCACAAATGCCTCCTTCACCCAAACTCCCTCCCTCACCCTCAAGCTCCTTTCTGCACCCAACCTCCATCCCAGACCCCACACCTCCTCCATTCATATCATGGAAGAGTGTGGCCCTCGACTACTTTCCAAATGCTTGTAGTGCCCCTCTCCAGCAAAAATTATTGCCTGCCCCTGTTGTGCAAGCAGTGGTTAATAAATAATGAAATTATTATGTATAGACTTTTCATTTCTATTGGGTCTTTGTAGCTCCCCTTCAATATTTGCCTTTATTCTTGCTCAAAGGAGGAAGTTACATTCTTTATGTATAAATGTTAGTTTACATTTATACATAAGTTGTTTAGTTCTCTAGTTGAAAGTATTTGCAATCATCTAGCCAGGTGATTCAGTGATATTGGTAACAAGACTCCGTGATCAACCTTCAGATCAAATTATACAATGTCTCTGGTCTCAGCGTGAGGCCCACCTGTCATGCTTTCTTCAGAAATAAGAAATAAACAGCTAGGAAAATTCATTTTTCTTTTCATGTACAGACAACACAGGAAGTCAGGGCTCGTTGTTACTATTATAATGACATGATAAAATAAATGCACCACATGTAAGTTTCCTTCAGGTCAACAAGAATCCGCTATGCACCACATGTAAGTTTCCTTCAGGTCAACAAGAATCCTGAAGGAAACATTGCATTCGGATGCCCTTTCCAGTGTTTTGAATCCAAGAAAGAATGGAGGTATTTAAATGTAGTAAAAATATATGGTACTGTGTACAAAAAAATAAATATTTTCCTTGAGGTATTACAAACTTCCTTCCTCAACTGAGAGGAGGGAAGAGATGCAAGCAGGCTTTCTTTCTTTTACGAGTTGCAGCTTCCAGACATTACTTTGGCGGGGAAGGATCAAATCAGAGCCATCATTAATTTGGCCGATTAAACTCTTGTGTAAATTGAGATGAATGCATGATGCAAAGTACATAATTTTTCCCATTTATAAAAGGAGGGAGTTATAGGATGAGAAATCAGGTTACTGATTTTGTCCTTCCTGTGATGGTGGTATTTGAAGTTTATACTGTCTCTTTGAATGATTTAAATGTATGGTCCCTTGGGTTTTACTGCCCTTACAATAATTAAATACAGATGAGAAGGACAATAATTTCCTAGTACTAGAGGTGAAGCTGTGATTCCTACACTTTTAGACTTCATACATTTCTGGCAGCATATTTACTTAGTATGCTTCCCTCATAATGATCTGAGACACTTACATTTACCGTGAATAAATATCAAACTGATCTCAATATCTTTATCTGTCTCATGAAATATACATCCCATCTAAATGTGCCCAAATGATTAATTTACCGCTGTTTAATGATTAGCATAAAAATCTCATCACTACACAAGATGGGAAAGTTGCTACTAATTGCTGGTTGAAATGAACGTTGTTTTCTGTATAGAAGTTAATGGTGCATACAGCTCAACTCTCTCAGATGAACTGGGAAAATTCAAGACTCTCCTGAAGCAGAAGGTACTTGAATATTTTTTCCTCTTTCCAAGCTAGAAAGGAAAGCATTTCAATTAAAAATGAAGTGATTTCAGAGTAGATGGTGAATGATAGAGCTGGAAAGAAAATTTTGTGCACAAATGAACTAACCAGTTATGTCTTCATGATATTTTGGTGAAATGCTTTTTATCTTTTTTTTTAAGCCTTCCTTTACTGTACACAAAAATAAAATACTTCCCACATATATGTCCCAGTCTTCAGCATGCATTATTCCTGGAAGTTGAGACTAATTTCAGTTAAATAATGTTTAACCAATACTGGGTCTTAGATGTCTACTATATATTTTAGAGGGTTTCATGTCTGTCTGTTTGCCCATCCCATCTGTGAGACCATTTGTTCAAGAACTCCTCCTAAATGGTAAGAGCTTGGACTATCAAACTTGGTGTGCTGCTTCCTCTTATCATCATTTAAAGCAAAGTCAGGCGTTGGTTGTGCCAGGGCAATGGGATATGCATAGAAAGTGATTATTTTGCATCAAACGGAAAGGGAGGAGTATGATAGTAGAGACAGTTATACTCATGAGTGACCACAGGGGGCAGCAAGTGCCCCAGCCTAGGGAGCAGCTGCTGGCTGGCAGCATGGCTCCCCCCACCTACGGCTGCTCTTAGGAAGCAGCCGCCCACCATGCCATGTCATTCTGGGCTGGCTCCAGTCCCAGGTAACAGGCAATCCTATTCCATTACCCTCCCATCATCCCCTCTGCTGCAAATAGCCTAGTCAGTGATAAGAGGGTACCTAAGAGAGCATCACCTCTCATGGCCTCTTAAGCTTGCATCTGTCTCATGGAGCACAAGACAACATATTATGTCTGCAGGTCAATGGACACTGCTGCTAAAACCTCAGCTCCAGCACATGGTACACATGCAACTCCCACTTTGGAATATAAATATGGACCACACATCTTGGAGAAACTCTACATTTGCAGGTCAGTAACCTCCCTTTTATTTTAAATTTTTCTTTGTTTTAGCATGCCTAATTCAGCAAAACTGACAGAAATGCACCAAAGACTTTAGTGGCTCTTCTTTATTTTTTTTAATCTAAAAAAAAAAGTCAGCTGTATTCAAACCTTTTAACTCTCACCATGGTATTCATTCTCTAGATTAGCTGTCTTCTAAAACTACTTACCCCTCGTGCTTTGCAGTTTCAAAGTGCCATACAAACACTAACCTCAGGTAAGTCACTATTGGGCCCATTTTTTCAGATGGGATTCATAGTGCCTCTGTGGATCACAACTGAGAACACCAAATTCAAAACTAAGAAATAGGCAGAAACACCCCCAGAACTGGTGGTTATTCTCCCATAATATATACCAGACCAGCAACAAATGTAAACTTCTGTTTCACACATTAGCTAACAAAAAGTCAGAAAAAAAGCCTCTGTAGGCATTCCAGTCCTTCTATCGCCACCAAAAACTCTAGATTTAAAGATGAATGGTTATTTAAAACCAATTTCATTAAATTAAAGGGTTCTTGTGATCCCAAAGGACCAGCCACATACCCAGGTCAATATATAACTCAGATCTACCCAATAATCATGCTGTATCCAGTCCTTTTAGGTTTAATATCTAAAGGGTTAGTTGTATAAAAAAAAGTGAATTAAAATTAGGTAAAGGAATCAAATACATACAATAATTGCAAAGTTCTTGCTTCAGCTTGTAGCACTGATGGAATAAACAACCGGCTTAAGTCAAGTCTCTGGTTGCTTCCAAATTGTTGGAAGGTCCTCAGTCCATTGGTTACAATGCTCCCATCAATATAAATTCAAAATCCAGAGGTTTGAGTAAGAGACAAAATTGAGATGTTTCCATGGCCCTTTATAGCTTCAGTCAAATTAAGGAAAACTTCTCAATGTGGAAAATTACAGGTGACAAGATGGTGTTTGGAGCCACATGTCCATATATATTTTGATTAGTCATAGTAAGGGCCAATACCCATACTCTAATTAGAAGGGTCACATGAAAGTCTATCAAGTATGGGTGGCTGTCTTCTATGGTCCACTGTGAGTTAAGTGTACCTTGATGGCCCACTTAACTTGAATAGTTCCTTCATGCGGTGCAGGCTAAATATCTTGTGGGTGTTACCACATGAGTAAACATTGAAATACAGGTACATAATTAATGCTGTATTAATCATTTCATACATGACTCCAAATGATATAATCATATTCAATAAGTCATACATTTTCTATAAACATCTTCAATACCATGCTAGGTACACATCAATAAGAAGGGGGGCTAGGGAAGGGTAAGTGGAAGGAGGTGAGGGAGGAATGGGGTACGAGCCCCCGATGGGGAGGACTGGGCTGGCTCTGCGGGCTTCTGGGGGTGGAAGCTCTCCTGCAGCCCCCCAATTACTCCCTCTCCCCAGATGGCAGCCTGCGGCAAGTGCAGCCGGGCTGATGGCCGAGTGGTGTGATGTGCCCAGTGTGGGCACTCAGGGCACTCCAAGCCAGAACTTCTTTGCAAGCGGGGCACCCCTTAGAACTGTGTGTCCGGGGTGGGGGTCGGGACCCTTTAAGCGCAGCCCTCGGCTAGCCTGAGACAGTATCTCCATGCTCTAAGTCCTCCTTTTATGCCCTGCCGGCACTGCTTCCGGCCATCCTTAAGCCCTGTTCAGAGTCCACTCAATGTGGACTTACTAGTTCGAACTAGCAAAACGCTAGTTCGAACTAGTTTTTAGTTCTAGATGCGTTAGTTCGAACTAGCTTAGTTCGAATTAACTAATTCGAACTAAGTTAGTTCGAACTAGCGCTGTAGTGTAGACGTACCCAGTGGTAGTAACAATGAAGTACATTGTCATATTTCTATCAGATGGCATCATAGGGGTGAAGTGACATGCCAAGGCCACACAGCATATCAATCCTGGAGCCAGTATTAGGATTAGGATTCAGGACACCCCCACTCATCCTCTAATGTCATTTTTTTTCTTAACACATAATCATACAATTTCATGCAACACTGGCATTTAGAGTCTGCATGAGCAAAATTTCTTTAGATCGCAAAATCATAAGAAATAAATCAGAAAAGCCTCTTGCACCATCCCCCATCACACACTTTCTGAATCAATGATTTTTTGTAT